CTGCATCCCCTTCAAAACCGGGTTCTTAGTGTTCGGGAGAATGCTAGGCTGCAAGGCTTTCCTGACTTCTACCGGCTACTCGGCCCGGTAAAAGAAAGGTAAATGACCTAACGTAAATGTTTTTACGTATTTTTACAGCTTATTTCATCTTGCAATCAAGTGCTAATTTTCCGATGGTTGTTGAATATATCACATATAAAGGTACATTCAAGTAGGAAATGCAGTTGCTGTGCCTGTTGCCCGTGCATTGGGATATTCTTTAGCTTTGGCTTTTAGAGGTTTGTCGGGTGAAGTTAACATTATTACATCATGCTACTACCATTTCGTCTTGTCTAATGAGGATGTTGAACTTGAGTTTGCTAATGGCCTTGTTTGGTAAATAGCTGTAGTTGTTATTTGTTAGTAGATTGCATTAACTGTTTTGACCAGCGGATTGTGTTAGCTGTTTTGACTAGTTGATTATGTTAGCTGTTTCTAAAAGAGTGTTTGGTATAATTAGTTTATTTTATTTAGTGATTAACACTTGAAATTATTTATAAGGTCATCAACATACTTTATTATTCTATTGAACTTATAATTAGGTAGGATATAAAAACAATTAATATTTTAAATAATTATTAAAGTTATTTAAAATATAATAAAAAAGTAAACATATTTCTTAATCGAGTAAATAAATTCCCGTCATATAAACAAAGTCGTGCAATAATTAAAAACAATATGCATCTATTATAATAAATATGGATATTAGTTCAACTTAAAAACGTAATAATTATTGATTATAAGAACATGTACACAATTAAATTTCCTTTCATTAATTTTTAATATTTATATTGATTAAATTTATATAGGTAATCTACTGCCAACCAAAATGAGTGAGACGAATTAAATAAATAAACTCAAAAAAAGTGTGCAACAAAATTAAAAGTTAGCGAGCACAATTAAAAACATTACAAAAAAAAAAAAAAATAACAAATAAAAGCACTAAATAGCGTGTGCTAATAAGATTCTTTTTCAAAGTGGCTAAAGAAAAGCAACAAGCTGAGGCTAAACGCTGCTATCCATAGTGTTTATAATTTTAGCGTTTTGGACTCATCAGCTAATCTCAAAAGCTATTTCACCAAACATCAAAAAAACAAATTTTAGCTTTTATCAATATGGTCAAAGCCGCTAAAGTAGCGTTTTAGCAAAAAAACTGAAAAACAACAAAAAAACTGAAAAAACAAACGGGACCAATATCTCTTGTATTTAAGATTTTCTTTCTTTCAAAGTGTGCTAATATGATTCTTTTTCAAAGTGGCTAAAGGAAAGCAACACACTGTGGCTAAACGCTGCTATCCATAGTGTTTACTCATCAGCTAATCTCAAAAGCTATTTTACCAAACACCAAAAAAACTAATTTTAGCTTTTATCAATCTGGTCAAAGCCGCTAAAATAGCGTTTTAGCAAAAAAACTGAAAAACAAACGGGGCCAATATCTCTTGTATTTAAGATTTTCTTTCTTTCTAACTGGCCTTTTTGATGTCTATAGCTTTCAAGTGTACTCTTGGTGATGTTAATTAAGATTATACGTATATTTACTTGAGAAACACCATAATATCAGTTTACTTTAAATTATTGGGACATGGTTCTTTCTAGTTGGCACCCATGTGGATGCGGGTCCCACAATGTATCCTTCATTTGTTCATAAAATAAATCCCATGGAGAGGTCGAATTTTTTTATTCCATTTTTACAATGCCAATTTTTATCCTATCAAGCAAAGTAAAATCTTCTCTAAAGATGAGAAATTTCAAGTATTGTGATTGTAAATTATAAATAAATAACCTGAAAAGTTAAAACATGAAAATTACTAAATTTTGTCTGATAAGTTATAACTGATGGACTATTTATTAAATGCAAAATTTTGTGACTCCAAATTTTGGATTATAAAATATCTATAAATTAATCGAAACAACAAGAAGAAGAAAAACACAGAAATGTAATGATGATAGGATTAAACAGAAGCAGAATACAGAGAAACTTCACAAACAAAACAATGCTAATAAACGTAACATTGATGAAAAAAAACTTGGAAAATAGTAATAGACTGCACACAATTTGGAAAAACCCCACAATGCATGGAGGAAGGACTCGCCGCTTGCCACCCCATCGTAAGCCAGTACAACAACAGCCAACTAAACACCACAAGCCTCGCCAGACGCAACAATTCATTTCATTTCTATTCCGAGAAACTCTGGCTCCTTTAGTTGAAACATTTATTATGCACCTTGAAAACCGCTAGTTCCTTATACAAGAACCCTTTAGATGGAGCTGAAGAGCAAGTACAAAACCAGTCGAACACAAAAAAAACCCCTCATGGGATTTCCCCTTCCTCCAGTTCTTCTTCTTTGTTCATAAATAATTCGTCATTGCACCCAAAATCCAACCCTGGACACATGTCAGTCATATCCAGGTTGAAGTCCAAGTCGAAATCAAAGTCGCCAATCTCATTCAGTTGCTCAATGCACGATTTCCCCTCGATATTTATTCCATCCTCGATTGTCTGGAACTGTGGGCCCCACTCCAACTCTTCCTGTGCTTTCTCAGTCCCCCTTATTGCGCAGTCTTTGTTCGTGAGGTCTGAGATTAGAGGTTCCGACAAATCAGCATCCTCGATTTCTTCCTCTTTAAATGTCACGCCTTTATTGGTCGGGCTATCTTGACAAGTGACAGGCAGCTCCTCGATTGTGTCCGGTTTACTTGGCGTGACGTGTTTTATTACGTCAAAATCTTGAGCGTGGTAAGGTAGGTAGACATGGATTACTGGGTACTCGAGGATAACTGTATTTGCCAACTGTTCTCGAATTGGTGCTCTTATGTTTAGTTGCAAGAAAGGTGATTTTGATCCCTACATGGAGAGAAGAAATAAAAACCTGTCACGCCCAGATTTTGGACACATTGCGTGATATTTCTCTTCTAATTGGGCAAGTCAAAACGACCCAAAATTTATGGGGAAAAAAAATTATGATCATGATTTATCTTGTGTTTCAAAGTTCAATGTGATGTTCTTTATTTTTTTGTTTTTATACTTCAATAATATTTTACCTTTTATGATTTAGACTAATAGTAACTGCCCCTCGGAAAAGCTTTGATTTCACACAATTTTTTTTTTTTTTT